TTTTTGTCGTAAATTTCTGAAGTTTTGTAATATATTAATTTCTCGATTATTATGAAATTCATTGAAATCAATTTTCACTCATTAATTTATCAATAATTTCTAAAATCAAAAAATTTTCAACAATTGTATGTGATATCAGACTATGTAGATTCCATAAGTCCTCTAATAACAGTTTTTCGTTATTATTCTTTCCGTTTTATTAAATTTGTTAACAATACTTTACTCGTTAATCTAATTTTAAATTGTATTAAATTGAACAAAATAACACATTTTTAATTTAAAATTAAGTTGTTAATACAGTGNCAATTTTCACTCTTTAATTTATCAATAATTTCCAAAATCAAAAAAGTTTCAACAAATTTATGCGATATAATACTATGTAGATTCGGTCTAATAACAGTTTTTCGTTATTATTCGTTCTGTTTTATTAAATTTGTTGAACAATACTTTACTCGTGTATCTAATTTTAAACTGTATTAAATTAAACAAAATAACGCATTTTTAATTTAAAATTAAGTTGTTGCTACCGTGTTATTTTGGATTACCTTTATGTTTATCTTGAGTGTCGAAAACAGGTTTATCTAAAGGAGATTTTAGGATATTGTTTTCCATTGGAGTGCCTATCATCCCTGTAATTTCTTTACAANAATTGTATTAAATTGAAAAAAATAACACATTTTTAATTTAAAATTAAGTTGTTAATACAGTGTTATTTTGGATTACCTTTATGTTTATCTTGAGTGTCGAAAACATGTTTATCTAAAGGAGATATCAGGATATTGTTTTCCATTGGAGTGCCTATCATCCCTGTAATTTCTTTACAAATTTTCGATTCATATTTCAGATGTGTCTTCATATAATTCCCGTTATCTGTGCACACTAATTCTGTAAGTATAAATTAAGACTGAAATAAGAAATTAAGCAATTTTTATGTTCAAAATATATGAATTGTCACCATTCAAAAATCCGCAACCACAGTGTATCCAAATAATTTTTTCCGTACATAATCAAGATAATCACATTCTGTATTTTATATATTACTCATCGGAATAAAGACTTTGTTTCAATTTTTATAATTTAATATTATATATCAATAAATATTTATGTTTTAGCACAAAATTTAAAAACTTAACTTTTTATATTATTATTTTTAAAAAAATTGAAGAAATCTATTTTTACAGAGTTTATTCTTACGAAAATTTTGACGTATCAACATTTTTTTTTCATTAAGTTCTCGGTTTTTTAAAAAAAAATTGAATGTCAGTTAATGAAGTTAACAGTCGATTAATTGTAATATTAAAAATAAATTAAAGAATACGATTACAGTATAGTTAATTTTTTCTGAACTCTTTCACTGACAAACTCTATTTGTCAAAATATCTTTATTCTTTTTTCATCAAATTTTAAAAAAAATAAAACGTTATTTTGTTTTATGTTTACTGAAACATAAAAAATGAACTGCAACATAATATTTGTAGTCTTCATCCAATTGAGTAATTTAAAATTTCTCCGGAGATATTACAATTGGTATATCTTTTTGGGACACCTTTATATGCAATATAGTTTTTATATTATAGAGTTTAATTCACCTTGTAATTTCAATTGTTCATGTGACGGCTTCTTCTCCATATCAACTCCTGTCTTGACAGGTATTTCCACTACGAAAAAAAATAGATTAAACAGGAAAATTACATAGGCAATTATTATCGAGTTAGGTGAGTTCACTTGTGATTTTCGGAACTAATATTCACAACCTTTTATTCACTCTTCAGATACACTTTTCGTGCTACATTGTATCGATTAATGTAACATAACAGAATTTGTTTTTATGAAAGTAATTGAATGAATCTGAATGAACCAAATAATGAACTTTTCAAGTTAGTGAAATATGTTTCATAAAACAATTGTTATAAGTAAATTGTATACCATTTTTCTGTTTTGCTTCCTTAGATTTAAGTTATTTCATAACATTGTTAATAAAGTATACGCATTCTGTGGCAGTAGCACTTGTAGTCTTTTAATTTCCGCTGCTTGATGTATCAAGCTGTCTATGCATTCCGATAAATAAATCGTTTATCAATATTTATACACAGCACCCCCTTGTATGTTATCGAGGTCAGTACTGTATTTTTAGTTCATATTTTTAATTATTGTATGTTGACAGATCTTTTTAACACTGTGTTAGTCGTTTAATTTTAAAAATGACCGCACTTTTTTTTACATAATTTATAAAATATATACATTTCGTATTGGATAAATTAATATTGAATATACGTGGTATATATGTGGTATACGTATGGTATACCACAGAATAAATGCAATTATTTTATTAGAGCATTTTAAATTTAAATATGTTATTTTTATTTTTTAATAAATTAAGCGATCTTTATTTTGCAGTATTTATTAAATACAATCATAAAACATAACATTAAATTTAAGATGAACGGAATTTCCTAACCTTACCAACGCCTAATGTCTTTTGGGAGACACAATACTTGATATAATGAATACCTGTTAACAACGATAAACCAAACCTTCTTATTGTAATAGTATACTATACGTTATTAAATAGTTCACCACTAAAAAACTACTTATTACAATAGTTAATTATTAAATACTAATAGTACTTTTTCCCAAGAGTTTTGATGAGCAGGGTTTAATGAATCACTCTGTATATAGTAAAGTATTATGGTATCATATAAAACACTCAATTGGGAAAAAAAACGTAGGAAAACATACAATTTTAGGATTTCATTATTTAATTCAAATACGAACTACGTTTTCTACTAAAAAAATAGATGAAATGGAAAAATTTAGAAAGTATAGTTTATGTTGCATATTTGATTTACTTTCTAAAAGTATTACGCTAAAACTTTCGATCCTNCAGAGACATAATATATTTTATATTTATTTTTGTCCAATAGTGTGAGGAATATAAAGACTTTATATTTGTTTACAAATGTGTTGCCCTCGCACCAAACCCGATTGAATAAAATTAATAAATAACGACAAAATTATCAGCAATTGGATAACATAAAAGGATACTCGTGTTTGTTGCTGGGTGCCAAAAGTGCCAATATCAAAAAAAAAAAAATTAAAATAAATTTTATTTCCCAATATCTCTAGGGAAAATGCATATAAATTTTATGAACAATAATTTTTTTAACATTGGCTCTTCTTGCTTCTATAAATTCCAAATACCGTCGTAATCATTTTTACTACCGTAGTTCATGTCACCTGGTATGCAATTGAAGTCATTTATGGCACCATCATCATCTATGTATGGTATGTCGTCCATATTTTCTAAAAAAAATGTATACATTTTCAAAATAATATTTTATTACTTAAACTATTGCTATAGTGTAAAAACAATGAAACTATGCAAGCAACATTGATGGATCACATCTTTAACATATTATCACTTTGTGTTAAATTTTGTGTGTACTGCAGCAGTATATCTAATTATAATCAATATTTATTAATAATTTAGGGATTATTAAAATTGAGTTTGCCTTTCAAACTCCGATTCGCAGTTTTTATGAAATTCAATCGCTAGTCGATACATCAAATTTAAGAGGATGGAATCGCCTTAACTTAATACTTTCGATTTATATAAGGACTATTCGACTTCTATAAATAATATTAAACCACAATATAATCACAATGTGCTTTTAATAAAATGCATATGTACACGTATCCATATCACAATATTATTAAACTTGGGTGGGTAGATATATAAAGTTTAAACTCTTATTCTTAAGGAAGGGCTCTAAACGACGTTTAAGCAATTATGATGTAATGTACACACTAAAGAAAAAACCACAAGGCAATAATAAAAATGGAATAATGATTTCGTTACAATTGCGGTGGGCTTTTTTACGTCCGTGTACGGTGCAAAATAATTTTGTAATCTATATAATAAACGAAATAACGGTACGAAATTAAAACATAAACAATTTTGATTTTTATTGATTCTATTATATAGTAACGACAAACGATACATCTTTTTTTACTACAATCATCATCAAAAACCATATTATGAGTTGAATTTGAATAAAATTAGCAANAATAAAAATGGAATGATTTCGTTACAATTGCGGTGGGCTTTTTTACGTCCGTTGTACGGTGCAAAATAATTGTCTAATCTATATAATAAACGAAATTACGATAGGAAATTAAAACATAAAAAATTTTGATTTTTATTGATTCTAATATATAGTAACGACAAACGATACATTATTTTTTTACTACAATCATGTTTAAAATGATAATATTTAATAGCTCCACTTCTAAATATCTATGTAGAATTTCAAAATATAGTACCCATATAATATAATTTATCTTCTAACCGACAGAATTTTTCGATTACCAGCTAATTCGCCATAGGGGTTCGACTAACGCATTATTTTCTCATTTTATTATTGTGTTAGACTGACAGTGTTGTATAAAGGTATTTTTTTAAATATCACGACAAAAACATATGCTCGAATAGTTAGAAATACCTGTACTATTTATGGGTGGAAGAATAGGGGGCTTCGTTCCCGAGG